ATATAGGGTTTGCAATTATTCGTGGTTTCAAGGTCTTAGAATGCGTCCCCCACAGATACGTTGGTCCTACTCTCTACTGTATGCCCAACATATACTGGTTGCTCTTGAACAGTTATCTAAAATATATCCAATATACTACTATGATTTCCTATATGTTGCTGTATGCTGTGAATGGGTAAACTTCTGGAAGTGTGGTTTTCTGGGCTCTGTTTTTGGACCCAGATCGCACAGCTTAAAGTTGATATCTTGCCAGGCAAATTCTTAAATAAACTACTACCTTCAAGTCACTCATGCCTCCATTCAGGAGCACTAAATAGTTCCAGTGAATCCACTCTGAGTTATAGTCTGAAATTTAAGCTATCTCAAGTGCTGAACTTGGATAGTGAACACCTTGAGAAGAGTCTCCATCCTATTAACTCCTTTTTCTGCTAATGATGGGACAATAGGTTTGAGCTATAGAGACTCTAAATTTGTTATAAGTATGCCCAATTGCAAACTGAAATTGAAAGCATCTGTAGTAGTTTGGGAGGCTGGAATACATTTGGCATCAATTTACGCCATCATCTCTGCACAGTTCTCCATGCTATTAGCATCCCCAAATGAATGAATCATACTTAGAAGTTTGGGGGTGGACTATTTACTTAGACAGATATGCACTAAATTGCTCATAATCAAATGGCTGTATGGCTGCATGATGAAGTCTCCTTTAATAGCATGCTTATCTTTCTCATTGACTGAGCTGGCCTAATATCTAAAAGGGTCAAGGAAAGGAGAAGAAGTCACAACAGGGCTTGGAAAAGTTTCTTTTGGGGATTACAGCTCCCCAAATCTCCCAAATCTCCATTTGACATGAAGTATTGTAGTTCCAACAACTAACTTTTGCAAACTTTGAGCAAAACCCAAGGAAAATAGGATTGAGGAGCAGAAAAGCAGGATGAGGACTGGAAGGATAGAAAGAGGTGTAATTCTAGCAGGTCCAGCCCTATCCTGTGTGCCAAAAAAGGAAACAAACACATTTTTTTGTTACCACTGTGTTTGATAGACTCAGTCAAGGACAAGGCTCTGTATTTGCAAGACCTTTACTGGGGTTGTCTTGGAGATGTCTCATTTATAGGACCACCATAACATCTTTTTAATTTTTCACTGCTTCACCACTTATGGCATTTGACTCTCATTAAACTAGACATACAGGGATGCATTTCTTACCATACTTATCAGTTGACTTGTGTGTCTACTGATCGGCCTAGTGGTTAATGGAGAACCAGCGTGGTGAAATGGTTTCAACATTAGATTATAACTTTGAAGACTAGGCTTTGAACCCCTGCTCAGCTATGAAACCAACTTGGTGACCTTGTGCAAATCAAACTCTCTCAGCCTCAGATGGAGGCAGTGGCAAACCTCTTTTGAGCAAATCTTGGCAAGAAAACCCTGTGATAAATTCACCTTAGGGTCACCATAGGTAAGAAACAACTTGAAGGTACACAATGATTACAACAATGGTCAGTTTCAAGGCTCCTGCACTTCATTCTTAAGGAAGGAACTTAACTTGGACTAGATAGCATTTCACAGAATTATGGAGTTGGAAGAGACCACATGGGCCATCTAGTCCAACCCACCAAAGCATAATGTCTGACAGATGGTCATCCAGCCTCTCTTTAAAAGCCCTCAAAGAATGAGTTTCCACCAAACTCCAAGGCAGAGTTCCACTGTTGAACTGCTCTCACCACTAGGAAGTTCTTCCTAACATTCAGGTGGAATCTCCTTTCCTGTAGTTTGAAGCCATTGTTCTGTGTCCTAGTCTCCAGGGCAGCAGAAAATGAGCTTGCTCTTTCCTCCCTATGACTTCCCCTCACAACTTGATCCATGACCCTCATCATGTCTCCTCTCAGCCTTCTGTGCTTCAGGCTAAACATGCACAGACCTTTCAGCTTTTCCTCATAGGGCTTGTTCTCCAGACCCTTGATCATTTTGGTCAACCTCCTCTGGATACATTCCAGATTAGAGTAAACATCGCCCTTCAACTGTGGTGCTCCGAGTTGAACACAGTGTAATTCCAGGTGTGGTCTGATCAAGGCAGAATAGAGGGGTATCATGACTTCCATGGATCTAGACAATAGAAGGGTATAATGACTTCCATGGATCTAGACAATATTTATGCAGCACAAAATCCCATTGGCTTTTTTTGCTGCTGCATGACATTGTTGGTTCATGTTTAACTTGTTATCCATGAGGACTCCAAGATCTTTTCCACACGTATTGTATGTAATCCAAGAAAACTCTTCTGTAGGTATGTAAAAGCCAGCAGAAATAAGCCATAGGGCTTTTTTGTATTGGCCTCTGCATTATGGGTTCCCCCCAGTGAAAGGAAGGGAATGGAGGAGTAGCAGTCTAAAACTTCTGGAAGGCCATAGGCTCTTCACCGCATGGACTCCTACCACACAGCCTATTAGGGAATACTAGGAGAAAGTATATGTCTTTTAGAAGGTGAATTGATTAGGCGAGCCTTGGCCCACCTAAAAGATATTTGTATTGAAGCATCACTGAAATAAATAGAATTGACTAGCTTGTTCTTTGATACTGCCTCACTTCCATCTGGAGGGATGACAACCACATCTTAAAAAATAATAATCATTGAGTTGTTCAACTGTGTTCTGCCCCGAACGACAAACCCTGCTCTTTTCAATACACATATATATATATTTTCCAATCCTGACAAAAAGCATTACATTTTTAAAAACACAGCTGGACGAAATGTACTGCAACTAGACAGAAAACAATTACGTGCAAATATGGCACAATCATGCATGAGGAAGGGAACACAAAATGCAGACTGAAATGCTCCAGCACAGGCAGAACGCAAATGAATGTCATGTTCACAAACAAGGGAGTTTTGTAAATCAGCATATTAATGAAAACATCTCCAGTTGCAAAGCTACCGTACGGAAAGGCATGTTATGGCTGCGAAATGCAAACTCTTTCCTCTAAACACTTGTGTGATTGCAACTAAATATGAATGACCAAAACATAATCTGTGACAACTCCGAGCATCATTCTAAGAAAGACTTTATGGGGAGCCAGGCCTGTATGTTTTTATTGCAAACTTTTCTTTTTCATCTTCCCCTTCCCATCTTAGTAATGTATTATTTTTTAAATTCAGTGGAAATGTGCATTTTCATTTTACGAACTTGAACTTTTTGGAAATGTTTGCATTTACATCCACCTAATCCTAAACCCCTGAAAACAGAGCACAATATGGAACACTGAAAACACAGGAAGAAATGGCAAAAGCTTTGAAAATGTACATGGAAGAAAGTTATAACTCGGTTCCTGCTTGCCAACTACTTTAGGAGCTGTAGACCAAAATGTAACTTTCTCAAGCACTGGGTGAAGCTGGAACTATGCTGCCATACAATGCAGTTTGAAGTGCATTGTGCGTGTCTACAATGACCATATAATGCATTTTAAACTGCATTATATGGCAGTCTAGATCCGGTCCAAGTAAGTAACAGGCCAACACTTCCCCAGCTATCTTCAAGCTTTTCAGCACACTGGGATTTATCACAAGCATTTACTCCACAGACACAACATGCCATTAGCAAGAAACGGAAACTCAACAAAGTTACTAGTAGTGAATGACAATTGTGCAAAATCTTTGCTATTGTGTTGGTGCAAAACACTCACAAGCTATGTAGGCAACAAAAAGCCACATGCCCAATGACATGTAAAATTGGAAATGTAGGCATTTGGGAAAGCAAAGATTTGGGCATGTTTATGCAGCAATGACCTCCATGTCAGGAGAGCTCTGAATCCACTTCAAGTTTGAGGTGCTTAAGGAGCTGGATCCAATTTATTTAGGGTGGAGGGCATCCCATGGGTTGCTCACTTTCCACCCTATCTACTCTGTTCCCCCCAAAATAAGTCCTACCCTGAAAAATAAGGCCTGGCATGATTTTTGAGATTTTTGAGGATGCTCAAAATATAAGCCCTACTTCAAAAATAAGCCTAGTTACAATGAAATAAAATATATCATTTTTGGGAAATAGATATCCACTGAAAATAAGCCCTAACATATCTTTTGGAGTCAAAATTAACACAAGACCCTGTCTTATTTGCAGGGAAACGGGTTATATGCTTAAGATGGGTTGTTGTAAGTTTTTTGGGCTATATGGCCATGTTCTAGAGGCATTCTCTCCTGACGTTTCACCTGCATCTATGGCAAGCATCCTCACTACCTCTGAGGATGCTTGCCATAGATGCAGGTGAAACGTCAGGAGAGACGTGTTGACCAAAAAGTTGGTGGTTCCAATCTAGGGAGCGGAGTGAGTTCCTGCTGTTAGCCACAGCTACTTAGCAGTTCGAAAACATGCAAATGTTAGTAGATTAATAGGAACCGCTTCTGTAGGAAGGTAATGGCACTCCATGCAGCCATGCTGGCCACATGAACTTGGAGGTGTCTATGGACAATGCTGGCTCTTTGGCTTAGAAATGGAAATGAGCCCCACCCCCCAGTGTTAATGTCAGAGGAAACCTTTTATCTTTACCTTACAACTTCTCCTAGTTTGTACATTCTTCCTCATTTATAATTTTCACCATTTGGACCTAGTCTAATGCTGCTAGGTCACACATGTCCTGGCTTTCATCTGTGAAATATCAGAGGATCTGATGCAACCAGATATAACCTCAGCCTGAAATGGATTTATAAATGGATGCAGGAGAAGCCATGCAGTGGGGAATTCCACTAAGGAAATAGCACTCAAGGCTGAAGCCTACAAGCAAGCAGAATGGTTTTGTGAAATGAAGAGATGGTATTTTGCAACATACGCCATTACTGATTGTTTCATGGGCAGCATAGGATGGAAAAAACCCAAAAGCCCAAACAGAATGAATGAATGAATGGATAGATGGATGGATGATGGTTTTGAAGACATGCGGCTGGATGTTGATGGACACATGGGCTTCAACGATGGATCTTGTTGGGGAGGGGTTCCATTGAATCTTACCCTCATCCCTTCAAATCTTGAGAGTGCTCTTAAAGGCCTCAGAGCTCTGAGGGTCCTAAGGGATTTAATGGGACCAATTTCGGAGTATCCAAGAGTACTAGCTATGAGGCTTACTAATGAGACCTGAATGGAGACACAAAACGGGGGAGAAAAGAAGTCCACACTATTAGCACAGGTCCTACCATTTAGCTTTTGTTTTCCGTGTTTTCACCTGCAAAGATAAAGCTGGTTAATCAATAGATGAAGAAAGAACCTAAAAGGGAGGAAAATGTGACATTAACCCAGAAATACTAGCAAAATAAGAGCAGCCACAAGTACCACAATTTTCCCCATGCCTCATGATATAGAACCATTGATTTCCAAGGCAAAATGAAACCATAAGTTTTTGGTTGGAAGTTATATATTGAACTCATTCTGGTTGGAATCCTATCCATAAATGTTGTCTACTTTCACTAAAGTGGCCACATGGAGCTCTGACTGCTGTCAAATTATGTTTGCAAATGGTCCAAAAAGAGGACAGGAATGATGTCAATAATGGGGGGTTGTTTGAAGTATAAACTTTTTAGGTGATTTAAAAAAATACTCGGTAACTGAATAGAAACAATTTGCAATGTAGGCGCATCTCCCAATTTAAAATTATGTGAATGCTAATTTTGTGCTGTCAAGAAGATCTGCTTTATAAGGACTAAAACATTGATTATTACTCCTTTTAAAAATGAGGTTGACAATGCCAATTAAATTGTCACTCAAATGTTTATTAATAAATCTCCAGAGTATCAGATTAAAAAAAATAAAACATAATGCTAATGGATCTCTGTTTATAGTGTTAGGCCTTTCTTTAAAGTATTATGATACATTAAAGTTATCTGAACTACACAGGTATGTCAGTTTCATTCCACTTAAACTGCTGTGGCTCCAGCCTTAAAGAAACCAAGGATGTTCAGCTTGGCGAGGTACTCAGAAGGTACCTACAGAAGAGTAGGACAGGCAATAAATCTATTTCATTCTATGGTATAGACATGTACAGAAGAGTCTCACTTATCCAACACAGATGAGCCGGCAGAACATCAGGTAAATGAAAACGTCAAATAATACGGAGTCACCTACTGTTATCCATCTGATGCGGCACTATACACCTAGAATACTAACAACAGGGACTCAAAGGTTTAAGGTAAGGCAATGCCTTGGGGCTAGAGCAGCCCAGGAGAAAGTTCACTTCACTTCACTTCACTTCACTTCACTTCACTTCACTTCACTTTATTTCTTAATTAGTCACTCTCTACCAAGGTGTTCCGAGCGACGTACAGTCTAAAATAGCATTTACATAATATAAAAACATTCAACATAAAAACATTCAACAGTGACTATTTGGCAAATTAGATCTGATTACTTAAATGCACAACCAAACAGCCAAGTCTTGAGTGCCTTTACAAAAGGTCGCAACTCCAACATTGCTCTAATGTATGGAGGCAATGAGTTCCACAGAATTGGAGCATAGGTCGAAAAAGCTCTACGCCTTGTAGCTTCCAGGTGTACCTCCCTTGGGTATATGTAGATTTTCCTCGGTGGATCGAGGTGACCACTGATGGAGAAAAGGAATGAGGTGGTCCCTAAGATATAAAGGTCCTTGGCCATTTTGAGCTCTGAATGTCAGGATCAGTATCTTGTAAGAGATCCGATGTTCTATTGGTAGCCAATGCAGTTGTTGCAGAATCGGTGTGCAACAATCCCAGATGCAGAAGAGGAGCATGGAAATCACAGAGGGAAGGAGGGAGGACACTTCCATTTCTGGTCCTGCATCTTTCCCCCCTTTCCTCCCCCTCCTTCTCATCTTGCCTTTTTCACTTATTGGGAATGGAGAGAGAGTTGGGGAGCACTCCTTTAATTGAAGGGGAAATGCTGGAGGAAAAGACGGGCTTTGGATAAGAACACTGGATAAGACGGAATGTCAGATAAGCGAAGGTTGGATAAGCAAGACTCTACTGTATTCTAGTTACTTTGGGATCTATAGTTCTAGGAAGTGGACTATAGCATCCAGAATTTCAAGTCCTTCAGCCAAATGACGCATGGGATGGAGCCACAACAACTAAAGTTGTACAAATCTGATATAACCACATAGCGTGCATCAATCTCGATTTTGCTCTTTATGACTAGTAGACGAATCTGCCATAGGCCACTGTAATGAAAGACTTGATGGCTTATTCCCTGTGAAAAGAGAAGAGAAGGCATTGGTTATTTCGGATGCACACACTCCATAGACACTGAAAATGGACAACCCTTACCCTTATGCTTTCAAATCGGGATAAGGCTCGGAGAGGCCTCATGGCCCTCAGCGTCCTGAGAGATTTCATAGCAGCCAGGTGGTCATAACCGAGAACTGTTGCTATCTGGCAAATAACTGAAATCTGTGCAGATCGAATGGAATTTGGAAATTATTGGTCAAAATGAGAAACAAAGGGGGAAAGAAGGGAGGAAAAGCACACATACACAGATAGAAAAACACACAAATGAAAATAACACATTTAGGGAAGATTCCAAGAACCAGGAAAGATTTGTTTGATTATTTTGAAGATGCAAAGTGTGAATGAATGTGGGTTATGTTACCAACTGATGGATTGCTCCTCCATGATGCAATATGCAACCCACTGACAATAGAGCTTTGGGAAGGTTTTGGGAAAACTAAAGTTCCCAGAATTGCTTAGCCAACATAGGCTGGGAGATTTGGGGAACTGTAATCCAAAGAGAAAGCCTTCCAAAGCTCTGCTCCATATAAGATGGACTGAAAGTTTGAGTTGAGACATTTTTATTTGAACACTGGAACCAATGGAAAAATGCTGCTTTCTCCACTCCCCAATATATTCACACGGAGAAAAACAGATTGCCTAAGGCTTGCATAGCTTGGCCTCATGTCAGTGGGGTAGTAAATCCATAATGAGGTTCTAAACTGACCATAAAGGAGCTCTCAGAGTTATAGAGTTGGAAGAGTCCAACCCCCTGCCATGTAAGAACACCCATTCAAAACACTCCCGACAGTCATCCAGCCTCTGCTTAAAAACCTCTAGAGAAGAAAACTTGTTGTTGTTGTTTATTCATTCAGTTGCTTCCAACTCTTCATGACCTCATGAACCAACCCAGGTCAGAGCTCCCTGTTTCCTGTGGCCCCCCCCAGTTCCACATCAAGCATACCATCTCTCCATCTTGGCTTTGGTCTGCCCCTCTTTCTTTTTCCTTCCATTTTCCCCAGCAACATTGTTTTATCTTAGTTTTCATGTATTTGCATTATATGGCCAAACTACTTCATCTTTGCCTCTAATATCCTTCCCTCCAGTGAGCAGTTGTGCTTTATTTCCTGGAGTATGGAGAAGAAGACTACCTCCCTCTAAGGTAGCCTATTCTGCCACCAAACAACTCCCACCACCAGGAAGTTCTTCCTAATGAATACGTGGAGTCTCCCTTCCTGCAATCTCCCCTTGAGGAGAAAAAGCGGGGTATAGATAAATATAAGAATAAGAATAGATCAGCGAAGCAGCAGAAAACAAGCTTACTTCATACTCAACAGGACATACATGCAAATATTTTAACAACCAAGAACAAGCCACGAGAGTAAAGATGATGATCCACCCAGAGGAAAAGTGTTCTTGCCATACATCAAGGGAACCACTGACCGCATAGGGAAGCTGATGAGGAAACACAACATACAAACCACTTACAGACCCACCAAGAAAATCCAACAAATGCTACATTCAGCAAAGGACAAGAGAGATCCTCTCACCTCTGCAGGAGTCTACCATATACCATGCAGCTGTGGACAAGTCTACATAGGGACCACCAAACGCAGCATTGCCCAAAAACGAATCAAGGAACATGAAAGGCACTGCAGACTACTTCAACCAGAGAAGTCAGCCATAGCAGAGCACCTGATGAACCAACCTGGACACAGCATATTATTTGAGAACACAGAAATGCTGGACCACTCTACCAACCACCATGTCAGACTACACAGAGAAGCCATTGAAATCCACAAGCATGTGGACAATTTCAACAGAAAGGAGGAAACCATGAAAATGAACAAAATCTGGCTACCAGTATAAAAAAACTCTAAAATTACAACAGCAAAACAGCAGAGAGGAAACAACCAGGCACATCTTAACACCTCTCAACAAAAGATTTTCCCAGGCTCAGCCAGGCCTTCAAATGCTAATGAAGGTGGTCAGTTGAAACATTCACACCTAGCCCCAGCAGAGAAGAGCTCTTTGCCCCACCCCAGTCATTCCACAGATATATAAACCCATTTTCCTAATTCCAACAGACCTCACTACCTCTGAGGATGCTTGCCATAGATGCAGGCGAAACGTCAGGAGAAAATGCCTCTAGAACATGGCCATATAGCCCGAAAAAACCCACAAGAACCTAGTAAATCTAACTAGTTCCCTAACCTTGCCCTGGATCAACAATGCATTATAATGCCCATACAGACCCATGTAGATTCAGCCTTGGCTTCCAGACCTTTTACCATTTTGGTTGCCCTTTTCTAGACACATTTCAACTTGTCCAATTCCTTCTTGAATGGTGGTGCTCAGAACTGCATGCAGCATTATTCCAAGTGACTACGACTCTCCCCAATCTAGACACTCTCCAGGGTGCTGAACCTATTTCACAGGCTGGGTTAAGAGTTTAGGTAACTCCTTTAAAGTGAGTTCCAGAACCCATGGTGGTCCTTGGCTACACTGTCAATCCCTGCAGAATTAATTTCTCAAATATGTGGCACAGAACCCCTCTTTGTTGCAAAGTTTTCTAGGACACCTTATGCGATGATCTCAGGCACTTGAGAGACTCTCTCCTCTACAGTGAACAGAGAGCACCCTCTGAAGCACATCAAACAGTCCCTTTGCAGGAAGGCTGACCTAGCTGCCTCTCCAGAAAATTGCCTCCCCATTCCTGACCTCATTGGTGAACCTGTATTAACCTTCAACTGAATGAGTTCGATAAATTAGCAAGTCACACAGAATGAAACAGACACCTCAAATTCCACTACAAATGCACAGCAGTTCTTAGACTTAGGGACGGACGTGTTTTTAGGCTTCGGAACTGAAGGCTACAGCGGTTGGCAACTCTTTTCCAGA